CGATTCAATTAACAATCCTAGGAGTGTCCATGGTCGGGTTGGGCTAGACTCGCTAATTTTTTTTCGAGTTGGACATGTATAGATTAAGTCCAAACGCTTATCCAAGTGAGTTATCAGTTGAACCAGACCAGACCAGTCTCTGGATAAGTGCAGGCCATCTGCAACCAACTATTGGGTTTCGGGCTGGGTAATGAAACTTGTGAGTAATCCAGCCCATGAACACTCCTAATCAACCCTATCGACTGTCCATTACTGTATTCAATATCATATTTTTAATTTTTCACCAATAAAAATACATTGAAATAAATTTTTTATCTATGAATTTTCATTTTTTATTATTTTATTTCATTAATAGTTATAAATTATTCCCTTAGATCAGAGAGCTTGGTTATCATAAACTTCAGAATGAAGTAGGTTAGATAGAAGGATAAAAAAATTACCACAACTTCAGTCTTAATCATCAACAACCCTGAAAAGGGTACAAACGAGCGGGAGGAATAAAGAGAGAGAGTGGATGGAAAAAATATGAATTGGGTGGAAAATCCAGTCGAGATTTTAAAAAATGTGATGGCGTGATCATCTTCCTTCCCATCTCCTTGACTGTTGAGAGAAGGAATGCGGCTGACACGTACGACTAATTATATTTATGGTAGCAACAAAATTGGACTCATCAAACTCGGGAGGATACTTAATTTGAAAGAAAAATGAATTAACCCATTTTAATGTTTTATTTGGTACGATAAAAAATTGAAGTGATAGATAAAATATAGTGTTTGATAAGAAAAGAAAATAGAAAAATTTTATCGACTATTTTACATCCACCAACACTTTTTCTAAATTTTATATTTTAAATCAATGTGAATCATGAGATTAGTAAGTCCTGCAAGTTTTCAATAACTATCCGATGACTCTCAATCTAACACATAATTTGAGATCAACGACTTGTTAAAAGATTTTGCGGACATAGCATTTTTTATTAATTAATTACATATTATGTATATATTAATTTTTATATATAGATATAATGGTCAAATGTATATTTATATTTTTTTATAAAAAAATTTAAAAATACTTTTTCAATCTTATCAAATACAAAAAAAATAAAAATTAATCATTCCTATTTTCTATTATTCTTATTAAACACAAGAAAAAAAAAAAAGAATGATTCTTCCCTCCCTTAAAGGATAGAAATTATATTACTCATATTTTTATTTTTCTATTTTTTTTATCCATTTTACCAAACAGATCATAACAATTCTCCGGGGATCCCTTTTTTGTTTTTCACACACACACACATATATATATAGATCCCTTTTTTGATATTCATTTTATATTTAAAAAATTGTGAAAACAAAAATAAAAAAATAATTTTTGTATTATACCAAAAATTCACTACCTAAACCCCACCACCCAACTCCACCATCGAAACCCACCACTGAAACCCACAACCCACCACCACAGATTTTCGCTTGTTCATTGTCATTTTGACAAATGATCAATTCAATTCACCACGCACAACAAGCACTCCTTTAAGTCATGTCAAACACAATACCCTAAAATCATATAATTACCATAAATAAGCTAAAAACCCTCATAATCAATATATCGAATCCAAATAAGTGCAAACCCTAATTGTAGGTTCCAATTTCATCGTTCAAGCTTCAATAATAAAATAATGCAAAAGAAAAAAAGATCTAGTTAGAACTCGTAATCGATCACCTTCACAAATTTATATCAACAACAATGGGAACCTTAATTAAAGAATTTGTTGAGCAAACGATCCAAAATTCTATCTGAAATAAAGAAGAATGAAAAACATGAAAACTAATCAAACAAGAGAGTGAGTCGAGAGAGACAATAGACCTAAAAAAATGGAATGATTGACAATGACGATGGCTTTTGGCTTCGGCTTTGTCTTCGTTGTTGGCACAGAGAGAGAGAGAAAGAGAAACAAAAAGGGGTGAAAGAGATATGACTTTTTATACCTCAGTAAAAATGTTATTTTTTTGCTAAAGAGAATCAAAATCAAGACCTCGTTAAAAGCCGCGTGCATGTGTTTTTTTTTTTATGTTTTCAAAAGCATCTTTTTGGATGTTTTCATATTTTAACTTTGTTTTTAAAGCAGAGATGTTAAAAAAAAAGACATAAACATTCATCAAACATTTTTTATTTTTTTTTAAGCCATAAAATAAAAAAAAAAACGAAAAAAAAAAAAACAAAAACGGGTGATTGCCAAACGCCACTAAATGTTTTCCTTTATAATAACAATGGTCATTATGTCATTGCATCCCCTATTTAGTTATTAAATATTAAACTATTAAGTTTCTTGAATATATTAAATCAAAATTCCGAGGCCTTAAAGGTTATTTTTCAAAATATGTGATCGACACATGTCTCTCGTATATTCAATTGTACGTAGTAATCAGTACAAAGCAAACCCGTCCCATGGTCAATAAAGAATGAGTTTTTCCCAAACTTCATTCAAGAAAAAAATTCTTATGTGTTTCGACTTATAGTCATCAATATCTCCGTCTCGTATTTATCCTCTACATTTTCTAATGAAAATCTAATATATTTTGCTTATTCTTATATACCCACTGAAAAAAGTTACTAGACAAAGATAATCACTTGTTGATATAGAAAAAAACGAGTTGCTTACCTGCCATAGTACTTTGGGTCAACCGTGGTCTTTCCACGGACAGAAAGTGATACCTTAAGCAAGACCCTATATTTATATTTGAACAAATATATTATTAATCACTCACTTATGTTAGGGTTTCAATCGAACACACGTGGCCACACAAGACTTGCCTCAGGACTTTGGCATGTGATCAACGTGGCTTGTCCACGTGGTCCATTCTTAGCAGATTAAAACTCATACATAAACCTTTTCTTTTCTCTTTTTGTCGTTGTGTTTTTTTTGTCCTTGAACCATCGGTTTCAAGATCGGGAGAATTACGTATAGACCCAGATTTGTAGTTTAATTATTTAAATTTTTTGATATTCGAAATATTATACACAAATCTTTTGAAATTTATATGCACATAATATTTAGACTCCTACCGTTGAATGTCTGTTAATATATCCGTTAATAAATTACACTCAAACTTCTTGAAATTTATAGAAGCATAATACTTAAACTCCTCAAGTTTAAGATGTTATACTTAGACAAAAATATTCCAATCAAATATAAAATATAAATATAAAATATTTAAATTTTACAACCAAAATTTAAGTTATATTATATCATTTATTGAAATAAAAGTCAATTTTTCTTTAAAAAATCGTAACTAGTATATAATTATACTATTTATTGGAAAAAAACTAAAAAATCAAATAAGGAGTCTAAACATTAATAATAGAATATGAATTTTATAACCAAAATTTATGTTATATTATGTCATTTATTTAAATAAAATCAAAAATAAAAATTTATTTTTTTTCTTAAAAAATCAATTTAGTATACAATTATACTATCTATTGGAATAAAACAAAAAAAAATTTAACAATTGGTTAAACTATAATTGATACAATATATTCTAGCTTTAATTGGGGGTAATTTGAAAGTTTAATTTAGTCGTTTTAACAATCAAATTAAATTTCAATAGATAGTATAATTATATATTAATTATGATTTTTTAATAAAATTTTAGATTTTTATTTTTAATTTTATTTTACTAAATGTCATAATATAACATGAAGTTTGGTCGTAAAATTTAAAATATTTGATATTTTATTTTTGATCGAAATATTTTTGGTCTAAATATAAAATTTTAAATTTGAAGGGTGTAAGTGTTATGCGTGTACAAATTTTAGGAGATCTAGATGTAATTATAATTGTATACTAATTACGTTTTTTTTTAAAAAAATTATTTTTAATGATACAATAGAATATGAATTTTAATTATAAAATTTAAAATATTTGATATTTTATCTTTGATTGAAGTATTTTTTTGTCTAAATATAACATTCAAAACTTAAAGAGTATAAGTAATATATGTTTACAAACTTTAAAGAGTTTTGGTGTAAGTTATTAACAGACTAAACATAACTCGTACTTGAAGACACGATAAAATATAAACTTCGAGCATCTAAAAAATCGATTTCATTATATTAATTTTTTTAAAAATATATTAATTACAAATTAATCAAATATTAAATGATTAAATATATGATAAAAATGAGTGATGTGATGTTTTTAGGGAAGAAATATATAAATGATTCAACATATGATAAAAATAAATAATGCGATTTAACGTTTGAATTTGGCAAAAGAATGATAAGTGAGGTAAATGATTGATGATGATTTTAAAAAAAAAAATATGACTGAGATAAAATTCAAACACACTCTTATTTTATTATATAGATATATTTACCGCAGTCCAAGTGTAACGTGCATGTGCAAACAAATTTTAGAGGATTGCGTGTAATATTTCAAAAGTGAGGGAGTTTGAGTGAATAAGTGACAAACTTCTGGGTCTCGGGGTCCCAACGTAGTTCTCCTTTTTTTTTTTTTTTTTTTTGTTGTCCTTAAACCGTCGGTTTCAAGATTCCAGCAATTGCACATACTTATAAACACCAGCTAGTTCAGAGGTGCAATTTGATCTGCTTGGATGGTCTGATCAAATGGCCTCTAGTCCTCATCAAACCCACATCCCTCTTCCTCCTGACCCAGGTAATTCTTTTGCTCTTCGTTTTTTTTGTCCTGTAAAAATGTATCTTCAATTGGATTGTAACTATGAGCTAATAGACAATGTTTAGTCAGGTATGATCAACAATTATTTCTTGGGTTTTGCTTATTTTGAGTTGGGTTTTGGAAATTATCGATCATATGCCTGCTGATTTGATGAATTAGAGTGTTTCAATTATTTCTGAATACGGGTGATTTGATACTGTTACTGATCTCAATCTCTTGGTTCATGCTGGCAATTACATATCATGCCTATAGATTCAAGAATATATGTTGTGAGTCGCATTTCTAGTCCTCTGTGAGGGTGTGGCTGTGGGTGTGCTGTTCTGCTTTGGGTTTTGAAATGGCTTGTTAAAATAACTTGATATGAAAATTAGGTTTAACGTGAATTTATCACCGTTTGCTTCAGATGGTTGGGAGTTTCCATATTGTTGTTAATTGGGCTTCATGCCTCCTTCACCAGGAATTTTGAGAGAATGATATTTTTTTCCCAACTTTCTAGATACGTACAGTGATGACTCACATTCATGCATCCCACTTGCTTTTTGGGAATTCCTGAATGTAGTACTATTTCAGGCATTTATACACGTCTTCGTGTTAGGCGCTTGTAACAATTACCAGACCTGACAATTGTAGGGGGCATGGGTATCCAATGTAGTCCAATGGAACCAGTTTAGGCACGGCATTTGGGATGTTGGTATTGAGTTAGGGGTTGTTCCTAACATTTTTTTTTTATGAAATAGAAATTATTAGACTTTATACTGAAAATTTATGGGCATCGTGTGAGTTTAACGAGTTAATTATGGTTATATCTTTATATTAGATTGTCATTTTACATGCTAAGTGGGCTTATTTAGTTTGCACTGCACATCCAGTTACACCACACTCTTTAGCATCTAAAATCCGCTCTCGTACTTAACAGAGCACAACGTAACATTTTTTTTCTTGCAAAAGTTAATATAGTTGGTGAGAACGATTAACTAACAAGGATGCAGAGCTAGGAAATTTTATGGTATGTGATGCTCTGGAATTATATTGTCCTTTTCCCTCATTTTCTGTCCTTTTTTTTCCCTGTACTTTGTAATTAGTTTCCTGAGGTCTGCACCATTCCCACTTGCTAGTTGTCTGTGTCTTAGATTTGATTCTGAGAATTGTTCTGACTAATGCACCCTGTTTAGTAATACCACTATTAAAATCCCAAAAGAAACTGGAAAAACTAAAACCTTGGGGGGGGGTTTAACAGCTTCGACTGAACATGGACCTGAAGGTGGTATGTGAATTGTACTCGTTGGTTTTCAGTTTGTTATCCAGAAGATGGTATTTCAATTTTCTTGTTTGCATCTATCTGTTTTAAGAATTATTGCAATCCATATTGCTGTTGTTTCTCCTATTTTTTGCAAAGCCATATCTCTAAGTTGGGCATTTTAACTTCCAATCTACATTTTAAAACAGTAATTTACTGTTTTTGCAGGTGAAAATACCATCACTCATGAAGCTAACTTGTCTCCAGTTCCTATTTATATTGTCACACATGCGGGTCAGCTTCCAAGTGAATTCTTGGAGCCATCTCCTGAGAGGCAATTGGTGATTGGTTTTGACTGTGAGGGTGTTGATCTTTGTCGTAATGGAACTCTTTGTATCATGCAGGTGATTTTTTTTTGGGTTACCATTTTAGGCTAGATAACTGAATTGGACACTGCAGTTTTAAAATTTTCCTTTGTGTCATGGGATTGATTTTAACTTTTTTTTTTAACTTTACCATAATTTTATGTAGAATACCATTTCCTATGACCAGACGTGTATTTTATCTACTTTTGAAAACTAATAAGATGTGCGTATAAGCATTACAAATGAATATGAGCCTAAGTAGACTGATTGAAAGATGATAGCTTACCTATTTAGTTAGACATTTCATGGTTTCATGATGTAAGCATTGCTATACAATTGGTGTATATGTAGTCGTGAATCTAGAAGTAGTATAGTAGTGAGTGACTGAGTGTAGATATTATGCACATTGCCAAGATCTATTGATCTCGGAGTCCAAAGGATTAGGTTTTTTAGCTTTTCTTTACTAGGTCTCTTCAGTTTATTTCGCATCAGCATTGAGTATAAAACATTATGTTTTTTAATTTGTCATATTGATGTGGAATTTTTGCGCTTCTCAAACTGGGTGCTGTTTCCATATCCAAAGCAATATGCTGTAATTTTCTTTTTGACCTTTTAACTCTTCTATCCATGGCATTTATTTAGGATTTCATATGTGTATAATCAATGGATTTGCATGATGAGAGTTAAACAGGGCAGTTGAAATATGGTTTGCTTTTTTTGCAGCTGGCCTTTTCAGATGCTATATATTTGGTTGATGCTATTCAGGGTGGAGAGATGCTTATGAAAGCCTGCAAGCCTGCACTTGAGTCCAGTTACATCACTAAAGTTATTCATGATTGCAAACGAGATAGTGAGGTCTCTTATAGATTTCTTCTGCTTTTGGACCTCAGGATATTTGAATGAATGTTTCATGTTTGATGTTTTTGAACCTGTTTTTATCTTGCAGGCACTGTACTTTCAATTCGGGATTAAGTTGCACAATGTTGTGGATACCCAGGTGAGCGTCTTCACTTTTTCAAGTTTATGGCTGGCATTGCTGGCCATCTTGTTTCTTCTCTTTTTTCTTTCCCCCTTTTACCTGTGCTGTAGTATTTCTTGTGGAAGCTTTCTAGTAGTCTGTCATACTGTATTGCAAAAAAACTATGACCAGTTTAAAAAGGAGATATGTGTTTTTTCTGGACGGTGGTTTTCTGGAGGGGGGTTGAGGTTTGGATATCTGATTGAAAACACATCCTAGAGGTTATCAGGTTTTCTGTTTACTACATGTTATTGATATTCACGATTTAATTATTTGTTTTGCCAACATTAACAGTCTACTTACTTTGAACAATGGGTCTATTTAATTGACTAGGTGTAGATCCCTTTTGTTAGCCCGCTGCACATTTGTAAGCCATTATCTTGTTCTTCACTGCTTTTTTTTTGAGCCCAAAAAACACTTGAGCATTTGTTGTGCATAATCTCTTTGGGAGCTTCTTTAATAATGGGCTGGTTAGTAGTTTTTTCTTCTTTGTCACCTTGCCTTCTACTTATACAGGCAAGCAGTTTTGTGATCACTTTTAATAAAAGCTTGAGGTTAGTTACCTCAAATTGATGAATCTTCTTGACTTCGAAGAGATTATGTTTGGACGGGTATATGCAATGGGACTTTTCTTTAATCGATTATGATTGACAGTTTCTTCACATGCAGATTGCTTATTCTTTAATTGAGGAGCAAGAAGGACGGACAAGAGTGCTAGCTGACTACATATCATTTGTTGGCCTCCTTGCAGATCCACGCTATTGTGGTACTTGGTCTTTTTCGGTGTTGATTTTTCTGTTTCTGATCCTGGAACCTTTTGCAGTTTAATGAATATTTTTATCAAGAGTGCTTGCTTGGCATGTGTCATTATCATTGTTGGAATGGTTGTAGTTTCAGTGGTTTTTATTTGCATTTTCCGGAGTAACTCATGTGCATCTGATTTAGTCGGGCAGATGGGGAGCTAGAAAAGTAATGTGCAGAGTGAAATTATATGTTAAAATATGAATCCGACCAAATCTTATTGGCTATTCCATTTTTGAATTTTTTTCCTTTCAATTTTTCTTTTTACATTATGGAACATGACACTGTTGGTCATCTACAAGCTCAGGAAGACACATACATCTGTCTTAACAGAATGTGTAGTGTGCCCGTCCATAACTTAGCAAAAGGATATATTCCTGGATCTTGTACTCCCTTTTGTAGTATGTTTACCATTCTACAGTTTCTCTAATCCTAGAGGATGTGGTATTTTTGTTGACATGCATTTATCACCTATTATTGTGCGGAAATGGTTCTTGGATTTTGACTTCGAGATTTGAATGCAGGTATATCTTATGTCGAGAAGGAAGAAGTTCGTGTACTTCTGAGGCAGGTTGGTTTCAGTGTCTTCTTAATAACTGTTCTGAAACCGGGAGGCACAGGGTCGTCCCTGTTGGCAAAGGCTTACCTCCCACAGTCAAAACTTATGTTCAAGCCTCTTCCCTCTCCCCCCCCCCCTCCTTCTTTTTTCCCCTCACTAATTACATAATATGCTTTTCTTAGCTGTATTAAAAAAAAGTTATCCTTCCTCTGGTCTGCTTCTCACAGTACAGACTTCTGGGTCTTTTGGTAAAAAGGAAAAGTTGTTTGTCCTTGCTTTAGATGAAGTTCAATGGATCAATCTCTTATGATGGTTATACGTACTATTTTTTTAATATATTTATTTTTCCATATATAAAACCTCAGATCTGCATTTTCAGCCCATCTCCATAATATAGATGAACTTTATTGCCACGTGCATCTTATATTTCAGTGAATGGCTCATCACCTCCTTACGCATCTGTCCAATGAATGAAGGTGGTCGTCTGTGATTTTTCCTTAATGTTTAGTGTACTAAGTTATGGAAAGTCCTCCATTCACAACTAATAGCCGATGCTGGTGCGTAATGTATTAAGCTATAAGCCAAACATAAGATCATAGAAATCTCCTTTGGTGACATGCTGAATTAGTTAATTCGTTAACAGATCATATTATGCTGTTTTAGCAACGTATTAGGATGGAGAACTGCCAGTCCAAACATCTATTTGGCTTGTTTGAGCTCAGAGCAGTGAGAAAGTACATACAAAGTTTATATTGTTTTGACATTCGGTAACATCTAGGATCACCTTAATCATTCAGCATGAGAACTTACACATATTCACCAATACATATCATCCTTTTTTTGTGTGTGTGAATATAGATGTAAGTTCTTAATTTTAGTTGTCAGCAATACACGTGGAGGGATATGTGGTGTTGTCTTTGATCAGTTCTTGATTTACATTTCCAGGACCCTAACTTCTGGACATATAGACCACTCTCTGAACTGATGGTCCGTGCTGCTGCAGATGATGTCCGCTTTCTTCTTTATATTTATCATAAGATGGTTGCGAAATTGAATCAACAATCTTTATGGTATCTTGCTGTCCGTGGTGCATTGTATTGTCGATGTTTCTGCCTAAATGACAATACTTTTGCAGATTGGCCGTCTCTTCCTCCAATCCCAGGTTTTCCGCTCTTTCCCCCAAATAAGCAACAATTAGTTCTTTGGTCAACACACGCGCATGTGCAGGTGCATGCTTGGCATGCACACAGGCACAACTTAGACATGGTGCTGCGTCATAGAAGTGCATTTTTTTTTTTTCATAACAAAAATTGCTGTCCATTGTACCTCCATAAACACAGGCAATGATTCAAGACGACTTAAGCATGCATATGATCATTATATCCATAACTTATTCACTATGCTTGCTTGTTTGCGAACAAGATTAATGAGGCGGGCTCTAAGTAATTGTGATAATGCTTTGTTGAGTTGAGTAGAGGTGTATCTAACATATTAACTAAGTGATGCAATATGTCACCAATGACATGTGACCATATGTTGATTTTAATAAGTTTTTTGAACACTTGCTATTATAAGTTTTGGCAAGCAGTGAAATTGTGCTTATAATCATAGTTATCAAATCGTGTATCGGAAGGCGTATCGTAAGATACAAATATTGTATCGTATCGTGTATCGTATCGTGTATCGTAAGATACGATGCAATTTTAAATAAATAATAAAAAAATATATATACCTTTGAAAAAAAGTCATACACTCATAAAAAATATAGCATTTCATTAATACTCCACCAACTATTCAAGTTATCAACATAATCCACTACTATTATAATGCAAAGTTCACAACCATAGTTCACTAATTCAAACTTTAAACACCAAAGAGACTTCTAATCCAAATTTCTAACATCCATTTTGAACTCAATCTTCAATTTCAATTGAAAATGCATCATCATCATCATCATTGTGATCGGATGCCAACAAGTCTTCACTTCCTTTATCATCTTCAACTTCTTGTATTTGTTCATCCTCATCCTCATCCTCATCCTCATCTTCAAGTTGAACTATTTGCTTTCCTTTTTTCTTGCTTAAAGTAAGATTTCTAGGCCCTACAAAGCAACCAATACAAAATATAAAAAAAATAAAATTCAAAGTAATGGAGAAGAAGAAAAAACAACCACTACATTTTAATTACCTCTCTTTCTCTTTTTGCTAGTCCCTTCTTGAACCTCAAAACATTCACCAACATTCATCCAAGTAGTGTCCTCAGGAAGGAGTGCATCTTCTTTTTCAGTGATCCACTCATCATCAGATTCCATATCTGAGAGAGAAATAGGATCATAGGAATCACCCTCTAGTATTCTCTTTTGGTGTCTTGCCTCCAATCGAAGATTGTACTTCACAAACACAAGTGCACTTAATCTTTGTTGCTCTAATCGATTTCTCCTCTTAGAGTGCACCTGGTCAAATGTACTCCAATTCCTCTCACATCCAGTGGCACTACAAGTCAAGCTAAGGACGCGGATAGCAAGTTGTTGCAACTCTGGACAACATCTTCCAAATGATTCCCACCACAAGGCTATAAAAAATTACAATAGAATACTCTATTAACTAACTTAAGCAGTTGCATTCAAATAACCAACTTAAGTTAAGTTACCACTAACCAGGTTGTTTCTTCTTCCTCATTTGGATTGCCATGTCCATTCCAAACATCAAATCAGCATTATGAAAGATATCTAATTGTTTATCAACTTTTTCTCTCATAATAGGACTTGGGCACATTCTCTGAATAGTCTGATATAGTCCCATCTTTATCTCATAGTCCGCACTACCGGTGTAATGAAACCTGAAATAATTATTTTGATTTACAATGATCATTGATTAGCATACAATATATAGATATAAAATGATATAAAAATTGAGAAAATTAAGTCTTACGCGGGATTGAGATAATAGGCAGCTGCATGAAGAGGTCTGTGTAATTGCATGTTCCATCTAGTGTCAACAATAGTCCATATGGGCTCATAGTGCTTCTTCACATTACGAAAATTCTTTTGGATTTGTTCCTTTGCCTTGTCCATTGCCTCATAAATATACCCCATGGCAGGCTTTAGATCCCCATCTACAAGCCTCAACACCTTCACCAATGGCAACACACACTTCAAGCAATACTTGATTGATCCCCAAAAATTTTGGTCAGCTAGTATAATATCCATCACTTTTACACCATCTCCCTTCTTACAATATTGACTTCTCTGCCATTCCTCAGAAGCAAACATTGCTCTAAGCCCAATTTTATTTTCAAATAAACTCCTTAAAGTTAAATATGAGGTGGCAAATCTGGTCACACAAGCTCTCACCAAATCCCTTTTCTTTGTATACTTTCTCATAAGATTTAACACCCAAGAATGTCTATAAATGTAAACTGTGATTTTCCTTGCCTTTGACATTATATCCTTGTGCAGAGGAAGGTCCCCAATATCCGTCAAAATGAGATCTAGACAATGTGCACCGCAAGGAGACCAAAACAACTTTTTCCTCTTTTCCATTAACAACTCCCCAGCTTTTACATAAGCCGATGCACTATCAGTTACAACCTGAACAACATTATCCTCACCAATCTCTTCTACCATTGAATCTAAAAGCTCAAAAAGATTATCCGCATTCTTACAAATACCTGAAGTATCAATACTTTTAAGAAACACACTTCCTCTAGGACTATTCACTAAAAAATTAGTGATAGAGCGATGTTTCCCATCAGTCCATCCATCAGACATAAGAGTACAACCCGTCCTTCTCCACTCTGCTTTATAATTTTCCATCAACCCACCATTAATCAAATTTGTTTCTTTTTTCAAAAAAGAACATCTCACCTCATGATACGATGGAGGTTTCAATCCCTTACCAAACGATGCAACAGATTCTAACATTCTTACAAAATATGGATCCTTTACCAAATTAAAAGGAAGGGCATTAGCATAAAAACATCTACAAATATCCAAGCATACATCTTCCCTACCCTTTTTCTTCAACATAGTATTCAAAGTAATTGTGGTGGTTGGCTGTATTTTATCAGCAGTAGTACTACCCACACTGCCACTACTTTTCGAATCCACAAGACTCATATCTTTGCTAATTGCCCTATCATCCAATAATTGCTTAAAAAATTCAGTTACTTCCTCAGGGCAATGCTTACACGCTGCTACATCTTTGCGATTACTTGCCAAATGATTTTTCATTCTTGAAATGCCTCCCCAATAGACATTTGCACAATGAATGCATTTCAATTTCAACCTTGATCCTTCTACTTTGTCACAATGTTCCCATGTGGGATCATTAGCAAGTTTTTTAGTCATTTCTATATGAAAATTGGATGCAGGTGATGCCACTGTTGCACAAAATTAAAATTAATCAAGATTCAGAAATTTTTATACAAAAAAATTTATATACATTTGGCTTTGTAAATAAATTAATATCATTACATACTGCACAGGACCAACGATCAATGGAGACTGGGAAGAAGAAGAAAAAGGAGTACCTGGAGAAGGAAGAAGGCAGCGATCAACACCCACAGTCGGAGACAAGCAATCACCCACAGCGAGCAATCACCCACAGCAATCACCCACAGACCGGCAATCACCCACAGTTGGAGACCACCCACAATCGATCACCACCCAGACTCGAAGACCACCCACAGTCGAAGACCACCCACCCAGTCGGAGACCAGTCGAACACAGTCGAAGACCACCCACAGTCGAAGACCACCCACCCAGTCGGAGACCAGTCGAACACAGTCGAAGACCACCCACAGTCGAAGACCACCCACCCAGTCGGAGACCAGTCGAACACAGTCGAAGACCACCCACCCAGTCGGAGACCAGTCGAAGACCACCCACAGTCGAAGACCACCCACCCAGTCGGAGACCAGTCGAACACAGTCGAAGACCAGTCGGAGACCAGTCGAAGACCACCCACAGCGATCACCACCTACAAGTCGAAGACTTCCCACAGTCGATCATCACCCACCCACACACGTCGGTCGATGGCTGAAGAGAAACGACAGTCATCGGTCGATGGCTGAGAGAAACCAGACGTCGATGGCTGAAATGTGTGATATATGTGAGAAATGTGTGAATTTTTTTTTTGTAACCCTAACCACTGAAACGACGTCGTTTCAGTGGTTATAGGGAATTGAAAAAAAAAATTCAACACACTTCAAACGACGTCGTTTTAAAAAAAAAAAAAAAAAAAAAAAAAAAAAATTGCACGTATCGTATCGTAAAAACGTATCGTGTATCGGACGATACAACGCAAAAACGATACATAACTACGATCCGTATCGTTTTAGGGCTGTATCGTAACGTATCGTACGATACGTATCGTGTATCGTACGATACTAACAACTTTGCTTATAATTACAGAATATAGATTGCCATCTACTTCCAAAATAATTGTGCTTATTATTACGGAATATAGATTGCCATCTACGTCTAAAATATAGAAATGGGTGTAACAATTACACGGCTCGCTCAGCAGTCAGCGCAGGACCTTAAAAAACATCATCATATTTGAACTATTACGGAGCTCAGAGATATCAGAATAAATGTGTCCTTTAAAACTTCCTTTTTTTGTGCTCAAAAGACGACAAAATATATTTGGAAGTATATAGTTTTTATGATATTGCATATGTAGTCTGAGATGCAGTCACTATGGAGTATAGTTCTGTCATATTAGTGGCTTGGCACTTCAAAATGCGTTTGAGTCGTTTGTATGACATTATGAATAATTGTTGACACTTGCCAGGACATACTTAATCTTTACAATTACATTGATGCATCTTAAGTAGTGACAATTCCATCATCATCCATTCCACTATTTTGATCTTGGTGCCCAGACTTATAGTAGTAATTGGCATCGTAGATATTCCATTTGACATGATGTAACATGTTGAGGTATTGTACTTCAGCAATCCTGAGATGCTGAAACTGCATTCGAAGTATTATTAGAATCAGCTCACTATCTGGTAGCAACTTATTTGCATGCACAAATGTGATTGCTTTTCCTTTTTTCCTCTGGGGTGTTGTCACATCCAAGAGTGGCAAGCACTGCTTCTTGAACATCGTACCCAAGTAGCAACAGGAATTTTAAATTTTTGTTTGGTAGCTGTGTCCAACTGCTAATTTTGCTGAACTGGAGAAATGTGCGGTGAGTTAGATAGGAACATCAGCAAAAATTACACTTAGATTAAATTCTGATTAATGTTCATTGTACCATTTCAGATAACCTCA